GTCAGATCAATGGTCCATCTAGCCCCGTGCCCTGTTGTCTGACAGTGTCAACTGCTTCAGAGGGAATAAACAGAACAGGGCAATTAGTGAGTGATCCACCTTGTCATCTAGTCCCAGCTTCTGCCAGTCAGAGGTTTAGGGATACCCAGAGCACAGGGTTGTGTGTCCCAGAAGAAACCCTTCAGGGACATGCAGAAGTATAACTTGACGCAGTGCGAGATTGATGTTGACAACTGAAATAGTCACAACAGCTAGATGGTGCTGGCAAGCAGCAGGCCATGACGGGGGAGAGACGCAACTAGGTGACCCTTTGCCCGGGAAGCGAGACAAAGACAAGGAGGAGCAGCAGTTGTCGTAGGTCAGATCGCTGGTAGCTGGGCCATCTCAATGGGGAACTAGAAGAGGGGAAGGCCAGGGCATCTGGCCTGGGACTCCCCAAGATGGACGTGGCTGAAAGTCACTGATTTCTGTGCTACCAAGCTCTGTCCTATGCTGTGTTCCTGTCAACTAATAAACCTTCTGTTCTACATGCTGGCTGAGAGTCACTGCTGACTGCGGAGTTGGGGTGCAGGACCCTCTGGCTTCCCCAGGAGCCCCGCCCAGGCAGAATCACTGCGGGAAGCACACGATGTGGAAGGGGATGCTGAATGCTCCGAAGTCAGACCCCGGAAGGTCGAAGCTGTGTACGCTTCTTGGCCTGGCGCCAGTGTGCTGAGAGAGAGGAGACATGCTCCCCCAGAGTCCTGGCTGGCTTCATACAGAATAGTTCCAGAGAATCTCCCCGGTGACTCCGTGACGCCCTCACGCAGAGCCGGAAACTCAAGGGGCAGGAGAACTTCCCCGCAGTTCTGTCCTGGCTCAACAGATCTGGAATGGCAGCACAGGAGCAGAGGCCCAGCAATGCTTGGCTAACAGAGTTCAAGAGGGCTGGAGTTTCCCTGGGTCCCCTCCCACGCAGGGCTTACACCCCACCCTCCAGCTCCTCTGCAGGGGCAGAGTTCTCACTTCTCCATGGAGGTGTCGGTCCTGGGCAGCATTCAGTCCCACCAGCCTCCGCCATTCCCCTCTGGCCTCCACAGAAAACCCCACCTTCTTCTTTAAGCCCTTGTCGTTTGCTTTGTTCCCCTGCAGGCTCACCTGCTCCAACTTCTCTCTGCAGCCACTAGGGCTAGAAACTTACAGTAAAAAAAAAAAAAGAAGGCTGGAAAATGTCAACACCCCCCGCCCCCAGCCATCAAACAGAAAAAATACAAATTCTGAGCAGCTCTCCCAGTAATATAAGCAGGTGAACAGGCTGATGAGACCTGAATGGCACTGGGTTCGACACACAGAACAGTGAAAATCCAATGCTTGACACGGCTGGAATCTCCCCTATTCAGACATCTCTCCAAGAGACGCCCTTCAAAGCCGCTCGTCCTGCTCAATACGCATGTGCAGCTCCTAGATTCCAAGCTGTGAGCAGCTAGGCCGACCTCCTGTGTAACTCAGCTCAGAGAACGGCCCCCAAATCATTCCTAGAGCTGAGCTTGTAGGAAAACATCCCATTTTGATTTTAAAATGGCCAGTGATGAAGAATCCACCATGCCCCTTGTTAAGTTGTTCCAGTGGTTAATTGCCCTCAATGTTAAAAAGTTACGCCTCATTTCTAGCCTGAATTGGTCTAGCTTCAACTTCCAGCGATGGGGTCACGTTCTACCTATTTCTGCTAGACTGAAGAACCCGCTATTAAATATTTGTTCCCCCCATTGCCCTTCATGACTGAAGATGATGGGGTGAGTACAATGGTGGCTACAAAGGCCACCACGAGGGTGGGAGTCCTTGCTGCATTGGGATTACAGGCTGTGCCCGCTGAATCTGCCACTGCTTACGCCTCAGCCTCTGTACCCCAAGATCCGTTCGGGGGTTTACCTTGAACTGAGTACCCCCGTCACGGCCTGCTGCTTGCCAGCACCATCCAGCTGTTGTGACTATTTCAGTTGTCAACATCAATCTCGCACTGCGTCAAGTTATGCTTCTGCATGTCCCTGAAGGGTTTCTTCTGGCCCCCTCGTGTGCGGTTATCTCCTCGGTTCGCCATACAGCAACTGCTTTGGCATCCCGGTGTCCTCCATCCTCAACGCGTGACCAGCCCAGCACAACTGACACAATGAGCATGGCTTCAACCCTGCGGAGTGGCTGCATTCCAGAACCTCGTTATTGGGAACTTTATCCTGGCAGTTGATGCAAAGTATGGCACACAGATGTCATAAAGGTACTTACACACTGATCAAGGCACCCCTTAACCGCTCGGTTAAGATAAACAGATTAAGCCCTTTGCGTTCCGTTTGAAGCTGCAGCAAAGCCAACAGGTCATCTCCAGAGAAGTAATTTATGGTGCCTGTTTCTGCTGGTCAAAGATACAGCACAGATTTCCTTTCTGAGGCAGACTGCAACTTCCTTCTTTTAACGCCCACAACAGCCAGAGCTCCTGCTATGAACTAGTTGACCTCTTCAAGGTCCTTTCCACTGTACATTTCTATGATTCTGTGATGATTATTAAATTCTAATAAAGCAGGGATTGCAGAGGCTGAAATCAGGGCCCCAGTGTCTAGGCACTCCCTGTCCTCAGGAGTTCAGAGTCAAAGTAGAGATAGTGGTGAATTTTTCAAGGATTTTTAAAAAAAAATATTTTTGGCCGAACACTGCCAATTCATTGACACCGAAACTGTTTGCAGAACACAGGCGGTGTTGACACATTTCCCAACTCAAAAAACTGTTGAGAAAAAAGTTTCAAAGTTGTCTAAACATCGCCCGGTCGTTTTCAAAATGGAAAGTTTCAGGTTCACCTTTGGAAACATCCTTAACGTTTCAAAATTTAACATCATTTGTGCTAAAAAAAAAAAAAAAGTTAAAGAAAAAGAATCAACATTGAAAACATTTCAAAAGGAAGAAAAAAATATTTCAGTTGACCCAGACGGATTTTTTTTCCCCCCAGATTTTTCCTTTGTGAAAAGTTGACAGACATTTTGGTGCCAGTTGGGATGGGAAAACAAATTGAAATGTTGAAAATTCTCCCAGGCTGTGAAGACCATTTCCTGGGCGGCCCTACAGCCTACAAAACCAAGACAAAGGCAGGCACGGGCAGAACACATGGTGACGCTCCAGTTCTAACTCTATACTCTAGTTAAAAAAGGAATGATTTGAGGGCAAGTCTCTGGCCTGTTACACAGATCAGCTGATCACAATGGTCCCTGCTCACCTTGGAATCTCTGAGTCACCTCAGCGTCACTGATGGGGAACGGAGACCCAGCCCCCTAAAGGATTCCTGAAATCAATGGAATTTAGGCACCTAAGTACCTTTAGGGATCTGGGCCTAAATAACTTGGGCACAGAAAGGGTGTGGCTCAACTGAAGCCAGCAGTGCTGAGTCTCAGTCCAATGTTTTCACCATGACGCCTCCCTGGTCTTCTTCCATGCACGGCTTTAGCTCCGCGGACAAAATGCAGACCCGTCATTCTCCACAGCTGATGAGATCAGTCTAAGGAGAGGACAGACCACCCTGCTTGTCATTTGGGCCAGGGCCTATCAATATGCTGTGCCCGTAAAGACCAGAGTAGGAACGCACCCCTGTTCCTCAAATGACAGCACTGAACTGCACCAAACCGAGCACATCTGCTGTGACGCGTGCTAACGCCAGTTCCAACTGAGACAACTATGTTTAAGAAGTTGTTAGAGGTTCCGTCAGGCTCTGTGAACCAGCCCATATCACATGCCAGGGGAGGTCCGGGTGTGCGGACTGTGAACCCACCGTGGCTGTCATGCCTGGGGCAATGCTCAGGGGAGAGATGTTACAGACATGCCGGTAAGGGCACCAGAGCCACACCTGCGCTCAGGCTTCAACCCGCAACCCCACCCAAAAGCTGCTCCAGGCGTGAATTACATGGCACAGCTTTCCCCAGTATAGGGCATACCCCTGTCCCTGGGGGCAAGGGGACAGATAGCTTAGTGGTTGGAGCATTGGCCTGCTAATGCTGACTGTGGTCAGGGTTGTGAGTTCAACCCTTGAGGGGGCCATTTAGGGAACTGGGGTAAAAATCTGTCTGGGGATTGGTCCTGCTTTGGACTAGATGACCTCCTGAGGTCCCTTCTAACCTTGATACACCTCTACCCTGATATAACACAACCCCATAGAACACAAATTCAGATGTAAAGCAGTGCTCCGGGGGGAGGGGGCTGCATGCTCTGGCGGATCAAAGCAAGTTCAATATAACACAGTTTCACCTATAAGGCAGTAAGATTTTTTGGCTCCCGAGGACAGCGTTATATGAGGGTAGAGGTGGATTCTATGATTCTATGAACAGGGTGGATATTCCTGACCACAGTCAGCTCATCTAGCGTTAGAGAGAAACTGTATTTCCAGGGCTGGGGTCAACGGGCCAGATCCCAACCCGATGTCAATGGGCCACAGCTCCACTGGGATCAGTGACGCTGATTTACTGCAGCTGAGTCTCTTTTGCTGCGGTGGATTCAGACCCTTTCCCCAGGAAGAAAAGGGGAAGAGGAGTGGGGGCTAGGGGAGAAGGCAGAAGAGGAGAGGAAAACTTCTGGGCCCTGAGGCAGGGGAACAGGGCCTGGGGCAGGCAAGGGGTCAATGCCAGACAGCCTCAGCCACTCAGCACTACAGAGCCAGAGCCCCCCAGCTCAGCAGCCAGCCACCCCATGGGGCTTAGGATTCGGCAGCCCAGCTCCCATCCAGGGCCGGAGCCCACAAGAATGGCCTGCACCCCCCACCCCAACAGCCCCCAGCAGAGATGAATTCCGTGAGACTTGGGGGCACAAGCAATCCAGGGAGCACAAGGTGCTAGGTCTGGGCTTCCCTCCTGCCAGCCCTCCAGAAGGCACTCTGCAGGGTGCTATCCTCTGCCCCCTGCTGGCCGAGCGGGGCCTAGTGAGCGAGGTCCGGGAAGGCAAAGGGAGACGACGTAACAGGGACGCGCCCAAGACCGCAGCCGCCCCCACCATTACCAGAAATCGTTTATTGTCTCATCAAGTGGCATAGAAAAAATAATCCATTGCTCTTGGCCAGGAAAGTGTAGGATAGCAGCAGAGAGCGAGCGAACGCCCTGGCCCCGGGGCTCCCCCCGCCCCCGGCTCAGCGGGGAAGGGGGAAGGGTCAGGGCCAGGCCCTGTCACCGATTACAAAATAATAGAGGATTTAGACCAGGTACATGGTATAAAGGACAGAGCGAAGGAAGCAGCCAGCTCGCGGGGGCGGGGACAGAGGGACCCGGCAGCTCAGGGAGCGAGCGTGATACAAAGTGCATAGATGTGCCTTCCCTGCCCCCACTCCCACCCCCAAACTGCCCTGCCGGGGGTCCCAGCTGTGCACAGGGGGTGGGCAGGCAGGCGGGAGGGGGTCTCCAATCACTGCGCCGTCCCTTCCATCCCGACGAGCCTCTTTGGAGAGTCAGCTGTCCCAGCCCCAGCAGCAGGAGAGAAATGCCTGGAAGATAAAGGAGAGATGGCAGGCACTGGAGAGGGAGACTGGCTCCCTGCAGCACCACTGCCCCTGTGGAGGGAGCCTGGCCAGCCACAGCTGTGTGTCATGTGCCCCGCACTGTCAAGGGAGATTCTCCCCAGCTCAAGCGGTCCACGCCTGTTTCCGCAGCAAGAGGATCGAAGCTTGAGTGGCAATAAAGGCAACTGTGTAGTGCTAGACAGGGGTCCCAGCCCCTTCCTCACCAGGAGGATGTTTTCCTGGGTGGACCCATTCGTGGCTGGCGGGGGGCAGGGGGGGAGGGGAGGAATTCCCTGGCCAAATCCATCCCCCTGTTGGGGAGCGATGGGGCTCCCGACCCTTCTGCCAGGGGGGACAATTCCCGGCTGGATGTGCCCGTCAGGAAGTGTTACCCCACTGCTCAGTGTGAATTTCCCCTTTCAACCGGCTTAGTTCCTGCCCTCTCCAGACGGGCTCAGAGCCACGCACCAGAGCAAGGACCAA